CGCTTCTGCGAAAAGCTGTTTTGAAAATACAAGATTATCCTTACCTTATTTTAATTTTATTTCAGAAAATATAATTTTCCTTCATTTATATCATTTTAAAAATAAAATAAATTATAAAATCATATTATTTAATATAAAAGAAATCTAACAAGATCCATTTTGACTACTTTTTATTGTTTAGAATTTTTATTCATATTTTATATTATAAGTCCTTTATAGTCATTTACACAACCTCTTATATTAAAAAGCACTTCTAATAGTTTTACAGCCAAACACTCAACTGCTTTTTTTTAAAAATACTTATCTAAAAGCTACAGCCAGAAGCTGCTTCTGCAAAAGCTACAGCAGGGCCAAACTAAGCTATTGTGATTTTGCAAATACTTTAAGGGGTTGGCACCCGAAGAAAGCAATATTTAGTAGCGGATTCGGAATTTTTTTTAAAAGGGTGTCCTCTTTAAAAAAAAAAATAATAGTTAACTTAAATAATTCATAAATAAGAAAATACATGACTAGTACAAATTTTAACAAAAGGCCACGACGTGTTTTCATATTTTGAAAAATAATATAAAATATACTCCACGTCTTCACTGCTCAACAAATCTATATATCATACTCGACAATAATTCACGAACTGATCGCATATTCGAATTCTAACCTTGTTCTTTTATATAACTCAAAGTTGAAAGACTCTTTTAACTCTTGCAGTGTAACTATAAAATTAATTCAAATTAAGGATAGCCCACAATTAGTTTAGTTGTTAGGTTTTAAAAATAGTTGAGGATAAGGAATAATGTTTTTACTATTTCATAGTGTTTAAATAGAACAAGAAATGAGTTGCAACCTAGAGAATATGTTTAACAATAGTAGTGTTCTAGGTTTAAATAACACAAACTACCATTTATATTTTTTTAATCTTACACAAACTACTATCAAGAGTAGGATAATAATTTTTTCAAAATTTAATGGTGTCCCAGATTACCAATTATTTTTTTTTCATACGAAACTACAACCGTATGTGCTCGGTTATTTTATCGGTTAACCGGATAACCGTTAACCAAGTGATTTGGCAAGGTTATACCAAAATAACCGATCTATAACCTTACCAACAAAAGACCTTTTTTTCAATTGTGAAATTTTCTATAATTTTTCATACATACGCATGTGTTTTTTTCTTAAGTTGTTATTATTGAATACAAAATAATTTAACATAGATATATATCAATACATAATCAACTCAATCCAAAACAAGTACACAATAATATGATTTTACCGTCAAACTTTACTAGCACAGAGTCCGGCCCGTTGGCCGGATTGTTCTTATTATTGAAGTATTTGTTGCTTTTCATTTGAAGTTGAGAGTTCCTTCTATTGCCTTGAGCTAATGGAATTGATTGTAATCATAATTAATTCTAATGGATGATCTCATTTTTATCTTCTCATAAATTGAAATTGTCTCGTTTCGGGAAGTGAGTTTGGCCATTGACCATTGCATACCTCGAATTCGAGGAGTTTCAATGAAAAAGATAATTTGACTCAAACTTCTTTTACCTTCTCTAATACTAAGAGCTAAAATGCCAAATTTGGAGCTAGATTTATGATTTTAGCTCCACCAATAGATGATTTGCTCTCATTGGGCTATGACTAAAATTTGGCACCCATATAACGCATATAGTTCCGACAAACCTCCATCACTCTTTTTATCACCAATACAACCACGGGTTAGGAATTTATGAAATTCTTTTAAATGACCATTGAAACAAAGAAAAAAATGACACAATTTGACCTCCAACCCGATACCTTGTAGCGGTCGATCCAGCGGGTGTGTGCGACCTGTTTTTCTCATTGGGCCAGGGTCAAAGTGGGTCGGTCTGCGAGTCGATCCGCGGGTTGACAACCTTGCCAGCAAGTAAAGTAGCAAAAGCTGTCATTTCGTATACCGCTTGTTGTCGTTCTGATGCGGGATTTTGTTTTCAGGGGTTTAATCGAGAGGGCACAAAAACAAGAGTAGGGAAAGCCACTAGACTGGAGTAGGGGTGGGCAACCGGTTCGGTAAACCCGAACCAAAACGAAACCAAAATAATGCTATCCGGTTCAGAATTCGGAAGGAAAATCTGGATATTTCGGAAATCAAGGTTCTTTCAACCGAACCAAAATTCCGAATTTCCGACCGAAAAATCGAAATACTATAATTGCAAGCTCCAAATGGTGGATATTTATGTTTGTAGTTGTTTTTAAACTTAAATATTTGAAATATTTTATGACTTATGTGTTGAAAAGTTTGATTCTATCATTGATTATGCATATAATTGCATATTTATTGTTTATATTAGAGGTGAAAAATAATTTAAAAATGAGAAGATACAAGTAGCCTCTCAAATTCGGTTTTGTGTGCAAAACCAAAACGAACCAAATTATAATTCGGTTTAAACCGACCAAACCGAATTATAATTTGGTTCGAATTCAGTTTGAGGTTTGAGAGAATTCGGGGACCTGGTATTCATAATTTCGGTTCGGTCAAAACCGAACCGACCGAATGGCCACCCCTAGACTGGAGGAGAGATGGTAGGGATGGCACAAATATTCGTAACCGTGGATATTCGCCCGAATCCGGCCTAATCGGGTAGGGTAAAATCGAACCTGAAGGACATTTAGTGGGTACGGGTAAAACCCAAACCCGAATATTGCGAGTAATGGGTGGACATGGTTTTAATTTTCTACCCGTTTCATATGTGGGTATGAGTCTATAGGTGTCAAAACAGAGCCCGACCCGACTAACCCGCCCGATTAACCCGACCCATAACCGGCCCGCAACCCAAATTGACTAAAAGCAACAACCCGCCCGACTCGCAACCCGATTGACCCGCAACCCGACTAACCCGCAACCCGAACCCAATTGACCCGCAACCCGATTAAACCTACCTAATTGACCCGAACCCGATTAACCCGCAACCCGACCGACTCAACCCGAACCCTACTTTACTCACCTTAATAATTATTATATTATATAATACATAGTCTTAGAAAATGAAGTTTTTCATTCTAAACCGAGATAAAATAATTTTTCATTTTCTATAGGGAATTGAAAAAAATATGAAACGCACTTGAAATTATGTATTTTAATAAAATCACAAAAATTGAAACATGAATGTCACATAAACATTAAGTTCTTTAAAAAAAATTAATACAAAGCTCAACTCAATTCGAGAAAAAACTCGTTCGAAATTTGGCTCCATTCTTTGTGAATTGGCTCGTGAGCTGGCTCATTTGTTAATGAGCAGAGCACGAGCCAGAGTTTTTTCAACTTGAAGAGGCTCTCGATCTAGCTCGACTCGTTGAGCTAACTCATTATATATATGCTCATAAGTCATAACGTAACTCATAAACTGGCCTTTTGCTAGTCATATAAACTGTACATTAGTTATACTATATAGGGTTATAGGTATAATATGCCCCTCTACTATGACGTTTTATCAAACATGCCCTTATACTATTTTTTACATCAAACATGCCCTTGTACTTTGTAAAAATGATCAAACATGTCCTTTTGTTTAAATTTTCATCCAAAAACCGTTAACCAAGGTCGAACTTTGGTTTGGGCGGCACAATTGTCTAAAATATCCCTAATAATTTCACTTTAGAACTTTTTTTGTTCTTTTTTATAACCAAATAATTCAAATAATTTCACTTTGAAGAGACCCAGAGAAATAAAACGGGAGAAAAAACTGACATTTTCGCTCCCATTTGCCGATGTCGGGTCGTCTAAATCTCGGTTCAACCATGATTGACGATTTTATCAATGGAAATCTTAACAGAAGGGCATGTTTGGTAATTTTTTCAAAGTACAGGGGCATGTTTGATGTAAAAAATAGTAGAGGGGCATGTTTGATAAAACGTCATAGTAGAGGGGCATATTATACCTATAACCCTACTATATATTCAACTCAGTGAGATAACTTAATGTGGTCTGAGACCTTATGTACGTGGCTAATATTCTTTACATGTATGATTGGTTGTCATATCTTAATCTATATATGCTAAACACACATATCACATATATCGCTAATCAAATAGGAATAACTTACTAAAGTATGATTGGCTAGTATTCATTTGAATTAATATTTAACTCTCAATAATATCAATGTTTGATTAAAATATTGTAGTATCAAATACTTAAGCTATCGTTGATGATAACTTGGATGGTGTAGAAACAATATTGAGAGTTTAGAATTTCTATGTTGGAGTTAGAGCACAAGATTGTGATGCCCGTTGCTTAGGTATGGCATGGACTATATATGGTGGAAGATGGTAAAGAGACAGAAGGAATCTTCCATTCTTCATTAGCTTAGCCAACTCATGTGCATAATTGACAATTAACCACTTAATTAGCTAATCCACCCCCACGATTACAGAGAGGAAGCCACATGACATGAATGGCAGAGGTCATGTATATATATGGTTATATAATTGGATAGATAACCAAGCAACTAACTCAAATCAAATAGCTCACCCACCTCGTGTGATATAGAAAATATAGGATCTGCAAGCCATAATCATCATTAATTGACAATGACCTCCTCCTTCCAACGAGGTTCCTTTGTCTTCCTCACAACTTCAGATGAAAGAGTCTGTTGCCGAGCTTCAATCTGCAATTAGCAGAAGGCAAGGAGGATTGGATGGTGAAACCAGAAGTTACCTCAAGTCTATGAGCATTGCGAGGAAAGAAATCCAAAAGGTCTTGATGGGTATGAACAGCAAGAAGTCCACACCATCAGAAAACAATGAGACTATTTCCATGTTGAAGGAAGCTCAATCTGTTGCTGTTGAGGTTCTAGAGTGCTTGTTCTAGAGTTAATAAACAGTTGTATGTTTGCTGCAGAAAGTATCATTTTTGCTGCTTGGCGTTGGCTACTACAGGGTTTAGTGATTTTTATACCACATCGGTTGTAAACAAAAAATCCCTTCCCAAGATAGCTATAAATTGAGTGAACTTCTTGAGGCTAAGATTGTGGAGTCCATTAAGAAGCTTATTTTGATTTGGGCCTTTACTTATGGAATTCTGCCCAAGTGTAGCTTAGGTTGCATGCCTTTTGGTTGCTGCCATAGCTATTGATTTTAGTTTGGGTTGGTAAAACTCTACTTGAAGTTGTTTTTCAGTTTAGTTGGGCTCGATGAATGTGGCTTGTTGAGCTTGCTCAAGAGCTCTTACTGAGCCGAGATTTGAAGCTTGCAGTGAGCTCGAGCTGAATTCTAGCTAACTAATTTTTGTCGAGCCTTAATTGTATAGTATATAGTAGAGCTCGAGCCTTTATCAATTATGATTAATTACATGACAAGTTTGCAAGTCATACAAATTGATTCAACATTTTGACTATTTTTTTAATTAAATATATAAACGAGGTAGAAAGAAATTGGTTAAAAATGGTGAAAAACACTTTAAATTAGTGTAATAAAATGTGTAAGTTGGTAACGAATAAGTAACTCGATGCGCTGCCCGAACAACCCGCAACCCGATCCGCCCACAACCCGCCCAGCCCAAAACCCGATGAACCCGTAACCTGATTTGCCCGCAACCCGATCAACCCACAACCCAACTAACCCGAACCCGATTGAACTCGACCTGATGAACCCGCAACCCGATGAACCCGCCCGAATCTGTCCGATTGAACCCAGACCGAACCCGCCCGAATCTGCCCGATTGACACCTATAGGTATGAGTATAGGTAAAACTCGAACTACTTTGAGTAGGGTAAAGGACCCGACCCGACCCATTGCCATCCCTAAGAGATGGCAAACGGAGATTTTCCGAATTTCATTACTGTTTGAGCAAGAAAGGGGAAAGAGCAGAGAAGAGCGAACAGCTCGAGTGACTGAGTCAGCTTTGGCCGTTGCCGAGGGCCAGCTAGCCAGCCGTCTACTACCTCCCCCGTCTCTGTCTCCTGGTCGGTCCACCGTGTCTGCTAGCCATCGCGACCGAGAATAAAAGCAGCCGCCAAAGGAGGCATTTCGGAACTGGTTGAGTGGTTTAGCAGTCTTGTTACTGGGTAAGAATGCTTAAATCTTATTTCTTCTTTGGTGCGCTGAATCAGAATCGATTCTCGGGTGATTTTTGCTGAGATGTCTGGTAACTGCCAGCTAGATGCTGTTAACTGTTTTGACTTTTGAGGGTTTCTATTACTGTTTGAACTCTGAACAGTTGTGAAAGCTGAGCGTTTCATTCTGTCCATCATGATGAAAGTTTGATGAACCAGCAGCTTTTGGGGTAGTATTTTGAATGTTAAGTAGTGAAAAAACTTTAGCCGCTATAGTTTTAGGTGATTTACTTTGTGTGTTACGGTTCAATGGGTTTGAAGGTTATGATGGTTCTTGCGTGGTCTTTGTTTGTGGTTGCATCTATTTATGTCATTGGATTTGGGAAATGGGAATCTTTTGTCTCAAGGAATTGGTTTTTGTACGTCATCGATCCCAGGTGAAAGGAGGGAGATAGAGGCTGATAAGTTCGAGTTGAAATTATTGAAAGGCTCCTTGAAAACCTAATTCCAGACTGCTGAGTCTTGCCACGTCGAGCTGATGGTATCTCTGGTTCAAACATCCAGTTTTCCACTCATTCCTCGGTTTCGCTCTTCACATCCTGTCCTTGAGGAAGCTCGGGTTCCATGTCGTTCAGGGGTGGTAAGTTTTGAGCTACCTTTAGTTTTCTATTCTTTTTTTTTTTTGTCTGATTGTGGCGGCTCTTAATTAGAGCAGGCTGTGGGAATTTAATGACAGAATTAGAGCAGGCCGTGGGAATTTAATGTTATAGATTAGACTTGAGAGTGCTTTATCAACTGTAATAGAAAGATATAGAAAGCGTATTACAGTTGTTGATGTGTTGTTAGTTGGCGTATGCTTGGCTGAAATGGTAACTTAAATGTATCGTTGTGTTTTCCTAAAGAGATGTCATGTGGTGGAGCCACTGAAGTTTGAGAATGGGAAACCCTGCATCCCAGTCCTTCCTGCTGGCGAACGTTCTCTGCCTAGCTTCCTAACCACACCTCAACTAGGCAACATTGTCTCTAGCAAGAATGACACTAGGCTGCGGATATTCTCTGGCACAGCTAATCCTTCTCTCTCACAGGTATCTCACTTTCTAGAAGTTCAGATTCTGTTATTAGTTTCATTCCATATTTAAATTTTCATCCAGTTCGTTTGAAGAAAAAAATGCCTGCAACTTGTTGTTTTTCCTCATTTGAAATTTCTTTCTCCTAGTTTGTGGTCTCTATAGTGGTACTTTAAAAGTGCCAGCCTTAATTTGAGGTATTGTTATGTCCTCTACAGGAAATCGCATGCTACATGGGTTTAGAACTCGGGAAAATTAACATAAAGCGTTTTGCTGATGGTGAAATCTATGTCCAACTGCAAGAGAGTGTACGAGGTTGTGATGTATATCTTGTGCAGCCCACTTGTCCTCCTGCAAATGAGAATCTTATGGAGTTATTGATAATGATTGATGCTTGTCGGAGGGCATCAGCCAAAAATATAACTGCTGTGATTCCATATTTTGGGTATGCTAGAGCTGATAGAAAGGTACAACTGTTTGCTCAAAAGTGTTGCTAAACAATTCACCACAGTTGAAGGCATAACATGTATAGAAAGAGAAAAATCTTCACATATGACCACTTTACATTCTTAATTATGACGGAACAGTTAGATTCTTCATTCTTGAACCACATTGAGATAACTGGTGAGTGGATGCTAACATGCTTTTAACACATCTCTATTCTATTGCTCTTTCAGACTCAAGGGCGTGAATCCATTGCTGCTAAACTTGTGGCAAATTTGATTACAGAAGCTGGTGCAAACCGTGTTCTTGCTTGTGATCTTCATTCTGGGCAGTCAATGGGTTATTTTGACATCCCCGTGGACCATGTATATGGTCAGGTGCTACACCTGTTTAGAACCCTGCTCTTTATATGACAATTGCTCACTTGGCTTTTGAGGAGCTGGTCACTTCATTGCAAATGAATGAGTTGTGGTCACCGACATGTGTGGCCTGTCATATTGCATGCTGTTGTGTAATTGAACTGCCTTGTAGTAGAATACAGTGAAATGAATGCAAGTTCTGCTTCTGATTAGTGCTTGTCTTCATTCTTTGGAATAAACAGCCAGTGGTACTAGATTACCTTGCTAGCAAGAGAATTTGTTCTGATGACTTGGTGGTGGTATCTCCTGACGTTGGTGGTGTAGCAAGGGCTCGTGCTTTTGCCAAGAAATTATCAGATGCACCCCTAGCCATTGTAGATAAAAGGCGGCATGGGCACAATGTTGCAGAGGTAAGACTCCAACGTTGGTCTTCTCTTGTTTGCTGTAATAGTGGTTAGGCTTAAAGGTAGGAAAGTTTTACGTTTATCCTAGCCTCTATGTACAGTTTCACAAATTGACAGGTTTCCCTATCTTTCTTTGTTATTTATAGGAGTGTGGATAACATATAAATCCTCTTAGCTATGGGGTTGCCATCAGCAGCTATTTCTGTGTATGGTGTACATTGAAAAAAAAAGAAGTAATTTTGGACTCACGAGGTCATGTGCTTGCATTTGCTTCACTCTTACTGGCGAGTGTGTTCACTAGTGATGTCTATATTTGAAATTGAAGGATATACAGAGAATAGAGTTTATCAGATTGTACTATGATATGATGCGAGTATCTCTTACCATCTTGTGACCATGTAGAGGTATTATGCCGCCTATCATCTTGTAGGTGATGAACTTGATAGGTGATGTTAAGGGAAAAGTTGCAGTGATGGTGGATGACATGATTGATACCGCTGGTGAGTTTGATAAATCAAGCAAAGCCACTCTCGAATTACTACCTATTATATTTATTTTCTATCATAAGTCGAATGTTGGTGGATCAATCATAAATGTATGCTCTTCCCTTGTGTTTGTATACAAGTCCATATCGTTCTGCCTAACTACCGATTTACTTCTGTTTGATTTAAGAGTCTACAACACATGAATGCTTCTTATTGCAGGGACGATAAGTAAAGGTGCAGCCCTATTACACCAAGAGGGAGCAAGGGAGGTATATGCCTGCACTACACATGCTGTTTTCAGGTACCTAGGTTGTTTTTTTTCTATGTGCATATTCCATCCCATGGGAGTGTTTGGCTGTGGATTATTTATGTTCTCCTACTAGCATACCCTTCCCAAATCATTCCAAAACTAATTCACATGGTGGTTTGATTCTGCGTGCAACAGTCCACCTGCAATAGAGAGGTTGTCTAGTGGTCTTTTCCAAGAGGTGATCATAACAAACACGATCCCAGTGCTGGAGAAGAACTATTTCCCCCAGCTCACTATCTTGTCCGTGGCAAACCTCCTGGGAGAGACCATCTGGCGGGTTCACGATGATTGCTCGGTGAGTATCATCTTCCCACTTGCAACAAAGTCGAAGTAGTAATGCGAATTCATTTCAGCATTATCTACTACCTTGTTGAAGATAGACCACAGAGAATTTGTTACTCTCTATGGGTATCATAGGTGTGAAGCATATCCTCTTCACTCTGGAGAGTATGAAAATTGAAACAAGTTATATTGTTTTGTTACCGACAGGGTGGTTTTGAACCCTATTCGAGCCTGGGCATCGACTGACTGATCAATCAATGAACTGTCTGTTGGCATATATTGGAAAGTCCAACAATATGGTAAGGGGCAAAATTGCTTTGCCCATACTGTGGTCCACAAGAGTAGAGACTAGAGAGGATGGAAGCAGCTTCATATGCAGAGAACTGAGTGCAATGGTTGTGTGATGTTTTGTGTTGTCCCTTAGGCTGCTCAGAAAGGCAACAGAGACGAAGCGTTCGTCTCTTGGAATCATGAAAGCTACAATGAGGTGTTGTACTTGTTTGTACTATCATCACCATGAATAAGAAAGTGTATAAACAATGTGTACGGCATGTAGACCGTCAGCTTAAGAAACTAGGAAATCCTCTCCATCTTTGATAATAGAAAATGTAGTGATTGAGTGAACCAATAAATAAGCTGCTGCTGTGGAATTGCTGATGCACGCACACACGCACTTTGCTGTTTGAGGATTTTCTATTTCCCTTTTCTGCGGCTATGGATAATCTGACTTACCCGAGCTGGTAAAGATGGGAGTCTTTTGTTTATGGCAAGCCCAAAGGACATAGGACAAAGATTCGGCACGATTACAAGATTACGGATGAAAGATTAGTTTATGTCACATTTATCACTCTAATTTGAGAAAATAAGCGAATACTTAGCTTTCAATGACACCTTCAGCAAATATTCTTGGATAAAAAAGAAACTGCCCTCGCCTATTTTCAGTATTTAGAAAGTATTTGACTTTTTTTTTATATTTACAACTGGGGTGTCAAAACATCAGAAAAACTGAAAAAGGGCTCCAACTTTGGATCACTGGTCACTGCGAGAAGGTGATGATGCAATGCCGTTAGGTATCGTTTGGGGAAAAAAAAATATTTGGAAAATTGGAGAGCCACCAAATTGCTTCATTGTGAAGTAAGAAGTCGCCCTTATGGTCATCATCTTGAGCCAATCAGCCCAAACGGGCCACTAACAGCCAAAGTAATGCCATATTCTCCAGGCTGCCATCCATCAAACCAATTAATTAATTTTATTATTAATCCTTCCCTGACCTCCACTCCCTTTCACTCTCCTCCATTCCTTATACGGCACTTCACACCTCCACTCCAAATCAAGCCCCCCACCAACCTCTAAACTCTATCTCCGTTCGGCAATGGATTTTTCAACCTCCGACGACCACTCCGAGCCCGTCAGGGAGTTCCTCCCTTTCCTCCGCATCTACAAAGACGGCACCGTCCAGCGCCTCACGGGGACCAAAATCGTCCCGCCTTCTCTCCACGACCCCAAATCCGCCGTCCAATCCAAAGACGTCCGGTACTACTCCTCTTCCTCCGCCGGCGGGGATGTCATTCTCCGATCCAGGATCTATCTCCCGAAGCAGACCGCGCCGGGGGAGAAGCTCCCTGTCTTGGTCTACTACCACGGCGGCGCCTTCCTAATCGAATCCGCCTTCTCACCGATCTACCACAATTACCTCAACACTTTAGTCGCCGAGGCCAATGTCATCGCCGTCTCCGTCGACTACCGGAGAGCCCCCGAGAACCCACTCCCCATCGCGTACGAGGATTCGTGGGCCGCGCTCGAATGGATCGCTTCCCATGCCTCTGGCGGCGGATCTGAGGATTGGCTCAACAAGCACGCCGATTTCGACTCGGTGTTCGTCGCGGGGGACAGCGCCGGCGCGAATATAGCGCATCGGATGGCGATTAGGTTCGGCAAGGAAGGGATCGGGGGGATTGGATTCGCTGGGCTGGTTTTGATCCATCCGTATTTTTGGGGGAAAGATCCGATTGGGAACGAGGAGAAGGAGTCGGAGTTCAGGGAAGGTGCTTTTGAGTTCTGGAAGCTGGCTTGCCCGACGACGACGGGGCCCGACGACCCGTTGGTGAACCCGGCCGCCGACCCGGATCTGGGGAGGCTGGGCTGTTCGAAGGTGGTGGTGGCCGTGGCGGAGAAGGATTTCTTGAGCGACAGAGGGAGGTATTACTGCGAGGCGGTGAGGAAGAGCGGGTGGAAAGGCGAGATCGAGCTCTTGGAGGCCAAGGACGAGCAGCACGTCTTCCACTTGATGGACGGCGGCTGCGAGAACGCCGTCGCGATGCGGTCCAAGATTTGTTCTTTCATCAATGGTTGACTTCGGGTCAACGTTTTTGGTGTTCATAAGAGCAGATTTGTTGTAACGCGGCCGGAAAAGAATAAGAAATGGTTAGTTGATTGATCTGGCGGTGGTGTTGCGTTGTCGGCTTCGTTTTGCGGTTTTTCAGATTCCAGTTAATATATTGCAGCGCAGGTAAAATAACTGAATTGCTAAAATTCGCTTTTAAAATTGTTAAAGATTGATTAAAAAATATCAAAGTTGCATTTTTAATTCTTTAGTTTCTTTATTTGACCTTTAGCAAACAAACCTCAATTAGATTAAACAAAGGAAAAAAAAAAACATTATTCAAGAGAGAAAAATCCATCATTGTCATTCGGGAGCCGGAATCATCGATAGGACGTCTAAATCATGAGTAGGAGTAGCGACTTCGATGAGGTAAAGTTCACTCCAAAAATAAATAAAAAACAATAAAAAAGGAAATTGAAGCTCACTCGCTGTTGCATCATGGTCCATGGTGCAACCGTAAGTGGCCTGCGGTTGGCCCATGGTGAAACCGCAACTCACGGCCAACCGCATGCCACTTGCCGTTGGTACTTGGTGGAACCTCAACTTGCCTTGGGTTGAGTTTTTTTTTTTTTTTTGGAAATTTCGTTAGGGAATGGGCGACAGCGACGTCAGGAAAGGTGCCGGTGGACTGGTTGTTGGCAGATTGGTGCGTCGAGAGGGATTCGGGAAGAAGGTAGACGAGGGGTTGGGTTTAAGGAGTTAGGGACTGTTTGGTTTGTTTAAATTTTGAAATTTCATTAGGGGGTATATAGGTAATTTAATATTAGAGTTAGGGCGACCGTTAGCAATTTTAAGGGCGACGTTTAACAACTCCCATATGGCTTAGGTATCACGAGGGTGAATTGCAAACTTGATCACCCATATTACTCATTTATAACACTTTAGCCACCCGAATAAAAAACCATTCAACTTAGCCACCGATACTACACGTTTATGTCATATTTGATCACCCATGTCACTCGCCGTCTAATTCCATTATGTCTGTTCTACGTGGCAGTCAACAATTAGGTTTGACCGTTAAAATGATGACATGGCTATTAGAAATAATAATTAATAAATTTTAAATTTTATTCTTTTCCAGTTCACAACTTTCAATTACAAAATATTATTTATGATAAAAAATTAACAAATATAAAAGTATTCTACTTTTGCTTTGTTCTGTCCTTCTCAAACTACTGGTGAGAGAGGGTCTGATGTAAAAAAAAAGGCGACCGGTGAGAAAGCCTCTGTTGTCAAGTCGATATTGGTCGCCACTAGTGATCCAAGCAAGGCTCTTGGGACGAGGGAGCTCAAATATGTGGTTGTATTACCGACATCCGCGATTGGTAACGTGAACAACGAGGAGTTGAGGTCAGATGAGACGGTGTCCATGATTTCCTCGACGTCGGTAATCGAAAGGGAAGCGGAGAACAATCGGGAGTCCGGTGAGCTAAGTAGCTTCGGTGGGTTGGAGTTCTCCACTTGGCGATACTGAGCCCAGTAGCTACGACGCAATTGACTTCTCCGACAGCTTCGGGAACAAGTCGCGAGAGATTGGCGAGTAGGGTTTTAGAGTAATTGAATAAAGACTGGACGTCCAATGAGTTGATTGTTCAGCTTTCAGATTGGACTTTCTGAACTCGCTGTAAACAGGGGTGATTGCTCTAGTTGAAGGAGGCAGTGGCGTCAGGGTGGGGAGTTGCAGTGACGAGCCTCGGCGAGTCCGCCAAGCCATCAACGCAAGAAGGATGACTCCGTCAAACATGAGTTGGGAATTCTGGCGAATTTTTCGTCTTCCTCTACTCTGTTCTAGAAGATTCCTGGCCGTCTTCCTCTGCTCTGTTCACCCTTCTCCTCTCGTCTCCCTTAACTTCGACACCCCAAGCCCCAAAATCACTTCTCTTCTCTCTTCTCTATCCCCGCCGACACCATCTCCATCGTCCCAACGAAATCCTCACCAAAATCCCCAAGCCCCAAAATCTCTTCTCTTATTTCTCATTCGCCGCCGCTGCTGAAATGGTGAGTTCATGCCACTGGATCTCCATACCCGCCTCTACCTCATGTCGTTGAAGCTCCAAATCCAGGTCTTAGAAAAGAGGATTTTGGTTGCCGGGGTCGATGCGGTGCCTGCGAATATCGATGTACTCACTCCTTTTTTTAATCAAATTCCTGAAAACTCTCAAATCTACAAACTAACCGTTGTGTTTTAGTGATTTTTTTGGTTCTTTAGGTTCTGGAACTGGCCAGGAACGCCGCGGGTAGGACAGACATAACGGAACTAGATGATGAGTGACCAAATATGATATAAACGTGTAGTATTGATGGCTAAGTTGAATGGTTTTTTTTATTCGGGTGGCTAAAAGTGTTATAAATAAGTAATATGGGTGACCAAGTTTGCAATTCACTCGATATCATGATATGCTGAAGTATTTTATCGTATCGCATAAATCGTTAAAAATATTGTTCTCATTAATTTAAAATTTTCCAGTTTTGATTTAGGGTTTTGAGGGGCTCATGCACCCATCAATAACTAAATCTGGATACTTCATTCAGAAAATTCAGATTTAAGGATGGAGAATTAAAGACCATTTTTATTTTCACTCGTTTTCTTAATCGACTCATATCTTCTTCGTTTTAACTCGGATTTCAATTCTTTTTGCACAGATGGAACGAGTTCTTTATGCTCTACAAAACGAGATCCATTTCCAATATTTTTTGAGAAAAAAATTTCTTGCCTCTCGGTACCAACTGCATACCATATGGTATCTTCTTCGTTTGTAATTCGCTCTTGCACAGAAGGAACAAGTTCATCATGATATATTGGATCTACAAATTTTTGGGTGAACAAAATACTGGACAAAAAACTAACACACAATATCACCCTGGTACGAGTTGGTATCTTGTGGTACACAATGTTAAAAGTCGTAAATGACAGTTAATATACTTCTACTATCATGTATTCAACCATCCTACAGTCTTGGTTTGTTCATACAACCATGGTACGCTTTTCAAACCATAGGTATGTTCTTATTTCAATACCAGTCAATACCATATAGTATAGACTGGTAAAAAATGTCTCCATTTTTTTGTTTCAAAAATATATTAAAGTGGATATCATTTTGAAGAGTACAATTAATCTAATCTAAGTGTGCAAAAAAATTAAATTTAGACTTAAAACGAGTGATAAATTGTCCATTAAAGATTAAGAGGGAAAAATTAAAAGCTTTTCAAGAGAGAGAATGAGCACTGATGTGGCAGATGGTGATTGGGTTATGTATGGTTATTGACCGGATCTGCTGCCGTTTTGAGGACCCAATGTCGTTCACATACAGTTCGCATTTTTTGGAAATTTTCCAGAAATAGCACCATTTAATGGCACCCAACCCACACAAATTCGAAAAATAGCACCATTTATTGAAAATCACACGCCCAAGGTGTGGTTGTTAGAAACCGCAGGCTGAAAAAGCGGTTAATGATCTGTGCAGAAAGCGCTGCTGGGGAAGGCAGTCCAGTGGCTGACCTAGCAGAAACCGCCACTGGAGGAGGCGATTTACTAGCTGACCTAAAAGAAACCGCTTGATGAGGGAGCGGTCCTAGGTCTTCAACCTAAACCGTTTCATCAAGCGGTTTGCTTTGTCGACACACAAACCGCGCCCCCTACGGTTTGTATGTTGTCCAAATTCCTCGACACCCAACATGTCGCCATGCAGGGGTTTTGGAGGCGTGAGTCTGCATGGCAGTTGAAAACCGTCCCCTCCCCCTGCGATTTTCAATCAAAATTTTGCTTATAAAAGGTAGCTCCGAGAACCTCAGTTCCTCAACCCTCTCCTTATTCGTCTTCAAATTTTTGTTGTGCACCCTACATTTTAGATTTTTTGCAATTAACGTTACTTCGTAACTTTATTTATATTACTTTTTATTGTGATTTGTGATTTTTATGGTAATAACTGAATTACAGTTTGACTACATATGGCATTCCAAAAGTTCACGCTTGGGTTACGGTGGAATGGTTACACTTAGGTAACCAAAGCGTGGAGCGAATGCGAGAAAGCGTCAATTTTTAAAAAATTCAAAATTGAAAGCTTGAACAGAGCGCCAATATTATGTTATTAATAATTATTTTCTAGATGTATTTAAACAAAAAATTACTAATTTTCTTATGATAAACAGATAAAGCGTGTCCAACTGTCCATTGGAGCTTTGATTGAACCTTGAAGCAGGAGGTTTGGTTCACCATACCACTCTTTTTTAGCATTTCTCTTTTTGTAGAGGAAGGTAGTAGGAGATGAGGTTTTAAAGATATATTGAGGGCAAAATAGTCATTGAAATGCTGGTATATAATCCTATTTTAGCAACTGAAAGACTAACCCTAATCTATTTCCTCCATTTTCTGGCCGCCCTTACCCTCTAACCTCTTCTCTCTCAACTTCCAACCTTCCTCTTCTTCGTTCCTTCTAAAATCGAGCAAAATATAAACAAAGGAAGGACACCAAATCGTTCCAATCTCATCTCTCGCCTTCTTCATCTGCCTACCCTCGACTCTCTTCCCATCTATGCAGAACGAAAATGAGGAAAGGAAGTTCCAAATCTGATTCTTCGCCTCTCGTTAACGGCGACAGTGATAGGAGATTCGTGAATCAAGGAGGCTTTTCGAGGCAGACATCTTCATCTTCTTTAGATTCCAATATGGGTAAATTTTAGGGTTTGACCCCTTTCATTATTTGGGTTTTGGTCACGATCAAGGGAAGAGAGATGAAAGAGGGTCTCCGGCTAGTGACGAACGAGGTGGTGGTCCTTTGTTCCAGGACTCTTACACCCTTTCTGGCAGCTACAATCCTCAAATTGGTTGTTTAAATTTATTGTTTTGCTTTCAATTGGAAAGTGCTTTAAAAATCAGAATTCCCGCTCTGAGAAATAGAAGTTCGCGAACTTTCAACAAATTTGGGAAAAACCGCGATATCGACGCTTTGGAGCGGGATCGCTAGGCCCAACCTAACGATTTGGGTGACCTAAGGTTACATAGAAGACACTGGAAAAGGGTTTTGTTACGTCGATGGTAATTTTCATAAAATTACCGTCGTTACGAGACTGATGCTTGAAAAGCTCTAACAAATGTGTACTGAGGTTACTTGCATGGATGACACGAGAAGAGTTGATCGTATGGTTTATCGATATCCAAACAGACAAGGCGGGTTGTTGTGGCAAGAGGAATTTCTCAT